GTTTAGTGCGATTGTTGAACTTGAGTGTATCGGTAAAGTTATATTCGGAAAGAATAAACCAGTTTTATTAAGTAAAGACTTGTGTCGTTAATATTTCGTCGGAACGAAGTTACGGAAAAATAAATTAACAAACGGAGACGTAGCAATATTTTTACAAATTTTAATGACAGCATCTTTTATAAAAACTTACTATACTTCTTGTTTTTGACAGTTGTTATAATGGTGTATACAATCTAACAGATTTTAAACTTCAAAACTGAGCTGCTACATGGACACTCATGGTGACAGTCACTAGATGCTTTAAAGATTCGGGGTTTGGGAATTTTCTGCGTTTCGGTATGATATCGATCATGGTTTTCAATTCTGATTTTTCAAACACCAACTGGGGATTCGGGGCACTGTCAAATAGAATTAGGGCAAGTGCTTCTGTTAGATATACATGACTGTTTCAGTTTAAGTTTAATGCGAGTGTTATGATTTAGATAGTTTATCTAGCACGAGTGTTAAATTTAGTTATTTTTAGAAGCGGTAGTTTATCGCAAGTTTGTCTACCTAACTGTTTACGAATCATACGTTGTGCAGTTCAGTAGCTATGAATTGGTAATTGTTATATTATTGCGTCATGTTACTAGAACCTTCTGAGTTTTTCTCGTTGTTTTAATTGAGTGCTATTGCTTTATGATATCTAACAGTGTGTGGAACAAATTAGACTTCTGTCGGGGTATAAATATGCGTCGGAAATTTAGTTCGATAGATAGATCTAGACTGCATCATTGTGAGTTTAGCCATACAAAACGTATAGTGGTAATTCTTAAAGTGAAATTATCACAGATTGTATTGTAATAACAGAGAAGAGAAGAATAATTCGCCTTGTCAATTGTTTTCTAAAGTAATTGAACCATCCTGTATGGACTTTGACGAAAGGGAGGCAATTATTTAAAGCTTTGGACACAACTGTGATAACCAACTGCGTAACAAAAATTTATATATATGTTTGACTTGTGTTGATACAATATTTTTAAAACAAGTGGACTGTATGCTGTTTGTTTATTGTTGAAATTTATCATCAACAAATCACAGACACCTACTGTAAAGAATCTGGCCCATACATAAAACATTGTGTGCCAGTCCCTAGCAACGCCTCTTCTCACACTTATATAAAAAAAAGACACTTTTATTAATAAGTTCATATTGCAATGTCTTTTTTTCAGTTCCTTTTCGTATGAAGCTGTGGATATTGGACACCGACTATAAGGAATACTGTATATTCTGGACCTGTGTCGATTTTTTGAAAGTATCACACGCAGGTAATTATCTGAATATATATATGTGTATATTTCATATAATAATAACCATTTAGAAAACTTGCTTTTGATTGAAAGTCCATTCAAATTCATTCCAGATTTTGCTGCTACAAAATTTGTTGGTATCAAATTTTGGTTTCCTTTGAAAGGTTTTTTAATGTCATTCTTTCTTGTTAAAACAAAGCAATATACACACGTAACCATGAAAGTATCCATACTATAACTTTTAACGTAGTACATATAACTTCACGAAATTTGGCAAGGTTTCAGTAAACATAACAAGTCTTTTATGCACACAAAATCAGATTAAGTATTTTTACTAAAGACTAGTCAGTGAATATATGGAGTCAGAGTGTTGACTAGTCTAGTTGCAAGGTGATTTTTTATATTAAGATTAAACATATTTTTGTTCACTTTACTCTTTTCAAATTTCATTTGCATAGCCTCTAAAACTGCCTAAATGAATACCAAACGTTTTTGTTTTTTATCAGTAAAACTTTACATTTTTTTCTACCCTAACTCTATAAGGGCTTGGTTGATATGACCAACCTTGTAACCACCACAAAAATATAGAAAGTGACCTAAATTACTCCATTTTCTATTTAGAATGAGTATAGATTGTAACAGAAAACTACAACTGATTATCCTAAATAGCCTAAGTCTCGGAACAGTCTACATCTGTTTCTTTAAACCATGTCTAACTAATGACCCAGCTATGAAAATAGTAAATCACTGAACGTAACTCCTGAGCAACTCACGAACATACCGGGTAGATAATTTCTTATTAGTAGTATTTTTCATTATCTTACCTCATAAATTTCAAATTTTTACATTTTAGTTATGTTTATAACAATAGATAAATAGAAAAATTTAGTACATACGTTTGGTATCTTAATGTTTTGCTACTGACCCCCTGATGAAACTTAAACCTTTTTTTGTTATGATGGTACCAGTACATTAAATAATTTTTATTTATTTCAAATATGCACTTGAGATCACAAAATGATAAGATGTACAAAGTAAATAATGTCGTATAACTAAAAACTATTACACTTAACTGACTTTCTAACTAGGCATAAGTGCCTTAAAATAATTCCCTTAGTTACTCTTCTGAACTTCGCGATACCGACTATCAATCTGTAGGCTATATAACAGAAAATCTCTCCTGAGAACAAAGCAGCATTATACGTTATTCGGTAATTTAAACCTTTGTTTTCTATTAGTTATAACTGATGTAATAGAAAATTCAGAAAGAATTATTGGCAACTAGCAGAGATCCGCAAAAGAATTGCCCTCAAATTATTATCTTTATTGCAATAGTACTTCTTAAATATCGCATTTCTAGAATAATACAATAGATTTTTTTCGCACACACCGAAATCTGCAACTCCACTTATCTCAGGCCTAACATCAGTTAAGCCTTTATTAAGTACCTATGTACCATAAAGAAATAACACTGTAACTTGTGTACGTGTTTTGCTTTAGTTTAGTATGGTTTTAACTTTACTGAACTTAATATTATCAATAAATAAACTTATAATGATATTCTACAACCTAAATTTAGACGTTTTTAATTTTTTTTATAATGTCTACTAATACTATAGTAATATTTACATATTTTAAACTGAAGTGAGCATGCATTTTTAGGACAAACAAAAACTGAGTATTATTACAATAGATTTTTGAAAGCAGGTTATGACAGGTGAGCGTGGCAATTGGGTCTATCTCTCTATTAATATCTATACTATAAGTAATTTACATTTGCCAGACTATTATTATAAATTTATTTATTTTGTGTTTGTAATTCACTGATGTCGAGGCTATCGAACTTGTGTTTGCAATCCATTTATGTCGAGACTATGGAGATTTCTAGAAGGCCTAAGTGATAGAGGTATAAATAAGGCTACCAGACGAGCAGAAATACAGAGAGAGGGTAAAGGGAAGTTCAGTGAGAAAAAAGTTAGAAAACTCAGAATTAACCATCGTAGGAGTGAAAGGCCTAAAGGTTGATATGTTAGAGTTAGATTAATAGTTTGAAAGAGATAAGGAGAATAATTTGTCTTGTCAAAGGGTGTTCTAAGCTAAGTGAACCCGCATGTGTGGACTTTGACGAAAAAAGCAGACGATCTGGAAGCACGAAAAAGCAGACAGCAGACGATTATTGTAAGTACAGGATACAACTGCGGTTACTCGTGCGACAGCGTAAGTGAATTATATACGGATACTACTGCGATAAAAACAAGATAAAAATTCTTCGGCTTGTCAACTGAATTCTAAAGCAACTGAATTGGCTTACGTGGACTTTTGACAAGAAAAAGAAAACTGTATAGTGTTTAAGATACAACTGTGATCTCCACAGTGTAAATATTTTTTTATATACCTTAAACTTGTTTCTAATATATATATGCATTATTTTAAAAACAAGTTGAATGCGTGCTGTTAGTTTATTATCGAATTTATCGACAACTAGTCACAGACACCTACTATAGAAAAATCCTTAGCCCAACACGCCTATATATTAAACTTACTATATATACTATTAAAAGTAAGTTTCCTGACAACGTTAAACATGGAAAATCAGGGAGGGGTAATAAAAAATGTAGATGATGGGCAAGACGGCGACCAATTGTTACAATTCTCATAAAAGGGAAGGTGGATGATTTATGTAAATATTTTCTTTTAAATTAAAATTTATAAATATTAAATTGTTATTTATTAATTATGTATTGATGCCAAACGTGTTTGTATACATTCATAATAAAGTAATTTAATGAATTTTTTAATATAATTCTGTAAAAGTTCGTGGCATGCGCACTTTGACAACCCGTAACGAGAGATGAATATATAAACTAAAATATTATTTTAAAAATTATGAAAAATCGTTTTAATGTAATTAAACAATGATTCAAAACTCGATTAATTAACATCTAATTATTATTATTAGTAGTAACAGCCATATCGAAATGCTTATGAACATATTGTGTAAGAAAACAGATGTTTGATTTGATATATAAACTTATGTTTGAAGAAATGAGGTGTATCAAATTCCATGTGATTAATATTATATTGTACATGGAGTGTGAAATTACATATGAAGAAAATTGACTGGTTAAATGTGAAAAATATGTGTGAGAAAACATACTTTGTACAAGTTTTATAAAATTATATCCGATAAAACACACAGCTTAAATGTATTTAAAAGCAGATGAGATTCACGGAGCTATCGAAGTCAGTGTGACGTCTCTGATATCGTTTGTCCAATCCACATATTTTCTTTTGTTTTTAAGACTGGTCTGGTTAAATCAGCGTGCCGAAATGTCCTCGTCTTATTATCGAAAGAAAAAAACTACAAAAAACGCCCCGCTACTTGGGCCGTGAGTACGTTATAAGGGTATTCGATCAGCCAAGAGTTGGCGGTGGGTAGCATTAACTACCTGCATTCTTCTAGCCTGTCACTTCTAATTTAGGGACGGCTAGCGCAGATAGCGCTTGAGTAGTTTTGAGTAAAATCTAACAAAAGTTTTGTGGACAATTTGTGCGAGAAAAACTAAATATTTATTTCAAACGTATTAGAAAATATTGTCTGAATAAAGAAAAATACGATTTTTGTAAGAACTTGTTTGAATTTAGAATATATACTGTTTTATATGAAAATATTGTCTGTTTTTGATAAGTCGGAAAATTCCAAAGGTTTATCATACCCCCATATAAAAATAAAAAGTTAATTTACTAGTCTCTTAATATCTGGTTTCTACGAAAATACAGGCGTATGAACACTACTGAAAACATTATGTTCCTGGCTTTATTTACGTTTAAATAAATAAAAGATTTGTATATATATATATGTTTTTATTTTACTTTCGTGAAGTGCGCCTTTTAAATCAAATTTGCTATTACTAATGTACTTTAATATATTTTTTGACCTTTTATTTTGTCTATTTTTTTAGAGAACCTTTGGATATATTCTCGGAATAAAACCATAAGGCAGTCCACTAAAGTGAAGATCATCCAGTTTTTAGATAAAAACAAAGTTAACAGATATGGCTTGAAGCATACTAACCAAACCAACTGTCCGTGGTAGTGAACTTCATGTTTGGTTTTGGTTTATTTTAGTGTTTACTTAGCTTGAAACTTGGAAAAGAACCAAGAAAACTTTTATACGTAATCTCCATTCTTTAGAGCTTATTTTTGAATAGTGATTTCATATTTTCTTTTGATACTATTATTGTTGACGCAACAAAGCAAATTTTCAGTTAATGTAAACATTTTCATATCGAAACAATAAAGTTTGTATCCTTTTGTCACCACAGATTACACAGTTACTTATATATGTTTGTGCGCTTATATCTTTATCTTCGTGTACTTATGTCTAAACTATCTTTTTAAAGATTTGACATATGAATTTCACTTGTGAACGACTTATTAAGTCTAGAGAACTTTGGGGTCTGTAGTCTCCAGCTTCTTGAATACAACCAAGTTGACTTCTGGAATAACATATATTAAGGACTGGATTAAAGTTTAGTGGGGTCCAAGGCCCATGAAGTATTTGGGAATAATGACAATGATTATGACAATAATAATAACTCATTCTGACCTTTCTTCTGCTAGTTTTACGAACCATAACTCTTGAGATTTTATTTACGAATAAACATGAAAAAAACACAAAAAAAAAACGTACACTTTCTTTCCTGAATGTTCTTGTTAAAAGACACGATAATAAGTTCCATACTTCCAGTTATCATAAAGATTCTCACATAAATGTATACCTACCTTGGAACTCCTACCATGACCCTTCTCGAAAATTAGGTGCCGTGAAATCTGTTTCATTCTATCAAAACTATCTGTTCCAGTAACGAGCCCCCCAGTGACACAGCGGTATGTCTGCGGACTTACAACGCTAGAATCCGGGTTTCGATACCCGTGGTGGGCAGAGCACAAATAGCCCATTGTGTAGCTTTGTGCTTAATTACAAACAAACAATCCAGTAACGAACATTTTCAATCGGAACTCGACAAATTGAAAACAAGATTACTAACCCAAGACGGTTTTACTCTAGAATACGTTCACAAAGTCTTCTCTAAACTCAATAAAACATTCGAAGCCTCTGCGCAAGTCAACTAATAATGAAATTCCTATTTATTGCACAATTTTTTATCCCAAAAGTTTTACTTTCAGTCAGTAAGTTTAGGGAAAAAATTGTTACAAAAATTCTAACTAACTTGTCTCTACAAATTGTGTTCCTTTCTGGCAGAAAACTAGAGGAACTTCTATTAAAGAATGCCAATATTCTGATAGCTCTGGCCCCGTGTATCAAATAAACAATGCGACGAATTTTACATTGGAGAAACCCACGGATAAGTTCTTACCCGTGTCAGAGAACATAACGATCCCCTCCCTCTCCGTTTATGAGCACATGTCCAAGCATGGCCATTCGTTTCAACCTGACAATGTTGAAATTCTAAACAGAGGAAAAAATATGAACCTGCGCAAAATAAAAGAAGGCTTATTAACCTAACCTAAAATTGATAAATATTCTGATATACAGTTTTATCTTTCCTACCCGTTGTTTAAAGCATCTAAGGTAGAATTGTTGTACACACGTTTTATATTTTTAAGGGGGATTTCTAACATAGTACAATCGTACTATATTAATCTATCGAAAATGCCTAGCGTATATCAGAACACATGTCACAATGTAAGACATTTGAAACTATTTTGTTCGTAGATTTTCTTAACGATTACAAGTTGTTGTTGTTTGTAGTTAAGCGCAAAGCTACACAACAGGCTATCTGTGTTGTGGTCATCAAGGGTATCGAAATCCGGTTTTTAGCGTCATAAGCTTCAGGCTTACCGTTGTGCCATTGAGGGATGGGGTAAACAACTATAAAAATATTACCAGTCTTACAGTAGGTTATACATAATACCAGATAAAATATAAAATAGTGTTTTGAACCACTATTTAGGAACAACACAAAATCGATTCGAATAAATTTTTCGAAAATTTCACGTGTCCTCTTCTATCCAACGATCGACAGTTAAAACACATACACCGTTTATTTAATAACGGAAGTTCCAAGTCCCTTAACGGCATATGACGTCAGAGCGGGGTTTCAGCCTACGCTAACCTTCAATGGTGTTTAAAGTTTGGCCACATTTGAATTAATGAACCTTCTACAGTTTTTCTTTTGACATATTTTCCAGTTTTATATATTAATTTGGCTGATTTTCAGTTAATATTTTGATCAAATATCTCCTGTATACAAAAATAACATTAATCGTTTGACAATTTGCAACTTCTTTTTTATGTTATACAGTGTTGTTACGCTCAGCCAATCAAGTACTAACGTATATATCCGCTAGTTTTTCGTATCATTTAGATTCTAGATCAACGTTTCTCATCTTTTTTTTTCCTCGTGGCTCCCTTTTGAGTTTGATTTATCTCTATGGCCCCACCCTTCGTAGACGCTGTTACTTAGGGAAAAAGTTACTTTATTTCCAAACTGTTGATTTATAATATATTTATAATATTATTTTTACAATATTGTATTGTTTTTAAATATTTTGTTTATAACACACTGTTTACTTATACAAGTAAAAAATATTCTGTTAATCATTGACATTTTATTCAGTATGATCCTTGGGCCTGATGAACACTTGAAAGTTTTGAATGTCCGGTTGCAGTGTGGTCAGTGATAAGCGAAAATCACCTCTTTCCACAACATAGGCGGTTACGTATTTTTGATAGCAAATAAGTTACCCGACTAAAACCAGATTCAACCAGATAAGATGAGGGAAAAGCGATAAAATAAAACTTTGCCTTCTCCCAGAACTTGGCCCGGCATGGCCAAGTGGTTAGGGAGCTCGACTCGCAATGGGCGGGGCGCGGGGTCG